AAATCCTGAAACTGGGACACACTGGGGGTGGGGCTGGGGTCACTCAGGGGTCACTCAGGGGTCACTCAGTGGGTCAGGGGTCACTCAGTGGTCACTCAGTGGTCACTCTGGTCACTCAGTGGTCACTCAGTGGTCACTCTGGTCACTCTCCTGTCCCCAGCCCGTTCATCCTGGACGAGTTCAAGCGCAAATCCTGAAACTGGGACACGCTGGGGGTGGGGCTGGGGTCACTCAGTGGTCACTCAGTGGGTCAGTGGTCACTCTGGTCACTCAGTGGTCACTCAGTGGTCACTCTGGTCACTCTCCTGTCCCCAGCCCGTTCATCCTGGACGAGTTCAAGCGCAAATACTCCAACGAGGACACGCTGGGGGTGGCGCTGGGGTCACTCTGTGGTCACTCTGTGGGTCAGTGGTCACTCTGGTCACTCAGTGGTCACTCTGGGGTCATCGTGGTCACTCTGTGGTCACTCTGGGGTCACTCAGTGGTCACTCAGTGGGTCAGTGGTCACTCAGTGGTCACTCTGGTCACTCTCCTGTCCCCAGCCCGTTCATCCTGGACGAGTTCAAGCGCAAATACTCCAACGAGGACACGCTGGGGGTGGCGCTGCCGCATTTCTGGGAGCACTTTGACCGCGAGGGTTGGTCCCTGTGGTACTGCCAGTACCGCTACCCCGAGGAGCTCAGCCAGACCTTCATGAGCTGCAACCTCATCACAGGTACCTGCCTTCGGCCTCAGCAGCGTCATCATCATCACTGGTCTCATTGTCCTCGGCGTCATCATCATCATCATCATCGTCCTCACTGTCATCATCCTCATCCTCATTGTCCTCACTGTCATCCTCATTGTCCTCATCATCATCATCCTCATTGTCCTCACTGTCATCATCCTCACTGTTCTCATTGTCCTCGGCATCATCATCATCGTCCTCACTGTCATCATCATCATTGTCCTCATCATCATCACCATCCTCATTGTCCTCACTGTCATCATACTCATCCTCATTGTCCTCACTGTCATCCTCATTGTCCTCATCATCATCATCATCATCCTCATTGTCCTCATCATCATCATCATCCTCATTGTCCTCACTGTTCTCATTGTCCTCGTCATCATCATCATCATTCTCATTGTCCTCACTGTCATCATCCTCATCCTCATTGTCCTCACTGTCATCCTCATTGTCCTCATCATCATCATCATCATCCTCATTGTCCTCAACATCCTCATCCTCATTGTCCTCACTGTCATCATCATCATCCTCATTGTCCTCAACATCCTCATCCTCATTGTCCTCGTCATCATCATCATCATCCTCATTGTCCTCACTGTCTTTATCCTCATCCTCATTGTCCTCAACATCCTCATCCTCATTGTCCTCACTGTCTTCATCCTCCCTGTTCTCATTGTCTTCATCATCCTCACCATCCTCATCATCATCCTCATCCTCATTGTCCTCATCATCATCATCATCCTCACTGTTCTTATTGTCCTCATCTTCCTCACCATTCTCATCATCATCCTCACCATCCTCATCCTCATTGTCTTTCTCATTGTCCTCATCATCCTCATTGTCCTCACTGTCCTCATCCTTATCCTCATCATCATCCTCATCCTCACTGTCCTCATCGTCATCTTCCTCACCATCCTCACTGTCCTCATCATCATTCTCATTGTTCTCATTGTCCTCACCATCCTCACTGTCCTCATCATCATTCTCATTGTTCTCATTGTCCTCATCATCCTCATCATCATCATCATCCTCATCATCATCCTCATTGTCCTCACCATCCTCATCATCCTCATCGTCCTCATCCTCACCATCCTCAATGTCCTCATTGTCATCTTCATCATCCTCACTGTTCTCATTGTCCTCATCTTCCTCACCATCCTCACTGTCCTCATCATCATTCTCATTGTTCTCATTGTCCTCAACATCCTCATCCTCATCATCATCCTCACCATCCTCAGCATCATCATCATCCTCAGCATCATCCACATCCTCATCCTCATCATCATCCTCACCATCCTCAGCATCATCATCATCCTCAGCATCATCCTCATTGTCCTCACCATCCTCATCCTCACCATCTTCACTGTCCTCACTGTTCTCCTTTCATTCCCAGTTTCCCGTGCGTTATTCCCGCGTTTCATTCCCATTTTCCCGTGCGTTATTCCCGTGTTTCATTCCCGTTATTCCCGTGTTTCATTCCCGTTATTCCCACGTTTCATTCCCATTTTCCCGTGCGTTATTCCCGTGCATTATTCCCATTTTCCCGTGCGTTATTCCCGTGTTTCATTCCCATTTTCCCGTGCGTTATTCCCGTGTTTCATTCCCGTTATTCCCACGTTTCATTCCCGTTATTCCCGTGTTTCATTCCCATTTTCCCGTGCGTTATTCCCGTGTTTCATTCCCATTTTCCCGTGCGTTGTTCCCATGTTTCATTCCCATTTTCCCGTGCGTTATTCCCGTGTTTCATTCCCATTTTCCCGTGTGTTATTCCCACCTTTCATTCCCATTATTCCCGTGTTTCATTCCCAGTTTCCCGTGCGTTATTCCCGTGTTTCATTCCCGTTATTCCCGTGTTTCATTCCCGTTATTCCCATGTTTCATTCCCGTTTTTCCCAGTGTTTCCCGTGTTTCGTTCCCGTGCATCATTCCCATTTTCCCGTGCGTTATTCCCGTGTTCCATTCCCATTATTCCCGTGTTTCATTCCCATTTTCCCGTGCGTTATTCCCGTGTTCCATTCCCGTTATTCCCGCGTTTCATTCCCATTTTCCCGTGCGTTGTTCCCATGTTTTATTCCCATGTTTTATTCCCATTTTCCCGTGTTTCATTCCCATGTTTTATTCGCATTTTCCCGTGTTTTATTCCCATTTTCCCCATTTTTTTTCCCATGTTTTTTTCCCATTCCCACATTTCATTCCCATTTTCCCGTGCGTTATTCCCATGTTTTATTCCCGTTTTTTCATGTTTTATTCCCACGTTTCATTCCTGTGTTTTATTCCCATTTTCCCGTGTTTTATTCCCACATTTCGTTCCCATTTTTCCTGGTTTTTTCCCATGTTTTTTTCCCATTATTCCCACGTTCCATTCCCGTTATTCCCGTGTTTCCATCCCCGTTATTCCCGGTTCCATTCCCGTGTTTTTCCCGTGTTTCCATCCCCGTTATTCCCGTGTTTCCATCCCCGTTATTCCCGTGTTTCCATTCCCGTTATTCCCGTGTTTCCATCCCCGTTATTCCCGGTTCCACCCCCGTTATTCCCGGTTCCATTCCCGTTATTCCCGGTTTCCATTCCCGTTATTCCCGTGTTTCCATCCCGTTATTCCCGGTTCCATCCCCTTTATTCCCGGTTCCATTCCCGTGTTTTCTCCCGTTGTTCCCGTGTTTCCATCCCCGTTATTCCCGTGTTTCCACCCCCGTTATTCCCGGTTCCAGCCCCGTTATTCCCGTGTTCCATCCCCGTGTTTTCCATCCCCGTGTTTCCATCCCCGTTATTCCCGGTTCCATTCCCGTTATTCCCGGTTCCATTCCCGTGTTTTTCCATCCCTGTTATTCCCGGTTCCATCCCCGTTATTCCCGTGTTTTCTCCCGTTATTCCCGTGTGTTTCCATCCCCGTTATTCCCGGTTCCATTCCCGCGTTTTTCCCCGTTATTCCCATGTTTTCTCCCGTTATTCCCGTGTGTTTCCATCCCCGTTGTTCCCGGTTCCATTCCCGCATTTTTCCCCATTATTCCCGTGTGTTTCCATCCCTGTTATTCCCGGTTCCATTCCCGTTATTCCCGTGTGTTTCCATCCCTGTTATTCCCGGTTCCATCCCCGTTATTCCCGTGTGTTTCCATCCCTGTTATTCCCGGTTCCATTCCCGTTATTACCGTGTTTTCTCCCATTATTCCCATGTTTTCTCCCGTTATTCCCGGTTCCATCTCTATTATTCCCGCTTCCATTCCCGCGTTTTTCCCCGTTATTCCCGTGTTTTCTCCCGTTATTCCCGTGTGTTTCCATCCCCGTTGTTCCCGGTTCCATTCCCGTTATTCCCGTGTGTTTCCATCCCCGTTGTTCCCGGTTCCATTCCCGTTATTCCCAATTCCATCCCCGTTATTCCCGGTTCCAGCCCCGGTGCCGCTGTTTCTCCGCAGGGATGTTCCAGCGCCTGGACAAGCTGCGCAAGAACGCCTTCGCCTCCGTCATTCTGTTCGGCAGCGACCACGACAGCAGCATCTCGGGGGTCTGGCTGCTGCGGGGGCAGGAGCTGGCTTTCACCGTGAGACAATGCCCAAAAATTCCCAGATTTATCCCAAAAAAACATCTCAAAGTTATCCCAAAAAAATCCCAAAGTTATCCCAAAAAAAATCTCAAAGTTATCCCAAAGTTATCCCAAAATTATCCCAAAAAAACATCCCGAAGTATCCCAAAAAACATCCCAAAGTTATCCCAAAATATCCCAAAAAAAACCTCAAAGTTATCCCAAAGTTATCCCAAAATATCCCAAAAAAACATCCCAAAGTTGTCCCAAAATACCCCAAAATATCCCAAAAAAAATCCCAATGTATCCCAAAAAACATCCCAAAGTTATCCCAAAACATCCCAAAAAACATCCCAAAATATCCCAAAAAAACATCCCAAAGTATCCCAAAAAACATCCCGAAGTTATCCCAAAGTTATCCCAAAATATCCCAAAATTATCCCAAAAACCATCCCAAAGTGTCCCAAAAAAACCATCCCAAAGTGTCCCAAAAACCATCCCAAAGTATCCCAAAAACCATCCCAAAGTGTCCCAAAAACCATCCCAAAGTGTCCCAAAAACCATCCCAAAGTTGTCCCAAAATACCCCAAAATATCCCCAAAAAAATCCCAAAGTATCCCAAAAAACATCCCAAAGTTATCCCAAAACATCCCAAAAAAACCATCCCAAAGTATCCCAAAAACATCCCAAATTATCCCAAAAAACCATCCCAAAGTGTCCCAAAAACCATCCCAAATTATCCCAAAAAAACCATCCCAAAGTGTCCCAAAAACCATCCCAAAGTGTCCCAAAAACCATCCCAAAGTGTCCCAAAAAACATCCCAAAATATCCCAAAAGACATCCCAAAGTTATCCCAAAACATCCCAAAAAACATCCCAAAGTTACCCAAAAAAATCCCAAAAAATCCCCCCAAAAATCCCAAAGTTATCCCAAAAAACATCCCAAAGTGTCCCAAAAAATCCATCCCAAAGTGTCCCAAAAAACATCCCAAAGTTATCCCAAAACATTCCAAAAAACATCTCAAAATATCCCAAAGTTATCCCAAAAAAATCCCAAAGTTATCCCAAAATACCCCAAAATATCCCCAAAAAAATCCCAAAGTATCCCAAAAAACATCCCGAAGTTATCCCAAAATATCCCAAAATTATCCCAAAATATCCCAAAGTGTCCCAAAATTATCCCAAAAAACCATCCCAAAGTTATCCCAAAAAAACCATCCCAAAGTGTCCCAAAAAACATCCCAAAATATCCCAAAAAAACATCCCAAAGTTACCCAAAAAACATCCCAAAGTGTCCCAAAACATCCCAAATTATCCCAAAAAAACATCTCAAAGTTATCCCAAAAAACATCCCAATGTGTCCCAAAACATCCCAAATTATCCCAAAAAAACATCCCAAAGTTATCCCAAAACATCCCAAAAACCATCCCAAAGTTATCCCAAAATATCCCAAAGTTATCCCAAAACATCCCAAAAAACATCCCAAAATATCCCAAAGTTATCCCAAAGTGTCCCAAAAAACATCCCAAAGTTATCCCAAAATATCCCAAAATTATCCCAAAAAACATCCCAAAGGGTCCCAAAAAAACCATCCCAAAGTGTCCCAAAATATCCCAAATTATCCCAAAAAACCATCCCAAAGTGTCCCAAAAACCATCCCAAAGTGTCCCAAAAAAACCATCCCAAAGTGTCCCAAAATATCCCAAATTATCCCAAAAAAACATCCCAAAGTATCCCAAAAAACATCCCAAAATATCCCAAAAAAACATCCCAAAAAATCCCCCCAAAAATCCCAAAGTTATCCCAAAAAACATCCCAAAGTGTCCCAAAAACCATCCCAAAGTTATCCCAAAACATCCCAAAATATTCCAAAGTTATCCCCAAAAAATCCCAAAGTTATCCCAAAAAAACATCTCAAAGTTATCCCAAAATACCCCAAAATATCCCCAAAAAAATCCCAAAGTATCCCAAAAAACATCCCAAAATATCCCAAAAAAAATCTCAAAGTTATCCCAAAGTTATCCCAAATTATCCCAAAAAAACATCCCGAATTATCCCAAAACATCCCAAAAAACATCCCAAAATATCCCAAAGTTATCCCAAAAAACATCCCAAAGTGTCCCAAAATTATCCCAAAAAAATCCCAAATTTATTCCAGATTTATCCCAAATTTATCCCAAAAAACATCCCAAAGTTATCCCAATGATACCCAAAAAAACATCCCAAATTTACCCCAAATTTATCCCAAATTTATCCCAAAAACCAAATTTATCCCCAAAAAAATCCCAAATTTATCCCAAAAAATCCCGAATTTATCCCAAAATTATCCCAAAATTATCCCCAAAAAAAATCCCAAATTTATCCCAAAAAAATCCCCAAAAAATCCCAAAAAATCCCGAATTTACCCCAAAATGAATCCTCGGGAATCCCAGATTTTCTTGGGAATTTTTCCCCAAAATCCCAGAATTTCTTGGAATTTTCACTCAAAATCCCAAATTTTCTCCCAAAATTCCCATTTTTTTCCCCAATTCCCATTTTTCCCTGATTTTTCCATGATTTTCCCCCAATTATTCCCAGACTCCACCCGGATTTCAAATCCCCCACCCCAAAATCCTTGGAAATCCCAAATTTTCTTGGAATTTCCCCTGAGAATTCCAAATTTTCATGGAATTTTCAATGGGAATCCCAGAATTTCTTGGAATTTCCAAAAAAAATTCCAAATTTTCTTGGAATTTTCACTGAAAATTTTGGAATTTCTTGGAATTCTTCCCAAAAATCCCAGAATTTCTTGGAATTTTTCCCAAAAATCCCAGAATTTCTTGGAATTTTCACTCAGAATCCCGGATTTTTTTTGGAATTTCTCCCAAAATTCCCGTTTTTTTCCCTAATTCCCATTTTTCCCTGATTTTTCCATGATTTTCCCTCAACTTTTCCCAGACTCCACCCGGATTTCGAATCCCACACCCCAAAATCCACCCCAGACCCTCGGGAATTCCGGATTTTCTCGGGATTTTCTCGGGATTTCCTCTCAGAATCCCAGAATTTTTGGGGATTTTTCCCAAAATTCCCATTTTTTCCCTAATTCCATGATTTTTCCCAGTTTTCCCTCAATTATTCCCAGACTCCACCCAGATTTCGAATCCCACACCCCAAAATCCGCCCCAAACCCTCGGGAATTCCGGATTTTCTCGGGATTTTCTCTCAGAATCTCAGATTTTTTTGGGGATTTTTCCCAAAATTCCCATTTTTTCCCTAATTCCCTGATTTTTCCCGCAGCTGTGCCCGGACTGGCAGGTGGATTACGAATCCCCCACCCCAAAATCCACCCCAGACCCTCGGGAATTCCGGATTTTCTCGGGATTTTCTCGGGATTTTCTCTCAGAATCCCGGATTTTTTTGGGGATTTTTCCCAAAATTCCCATTTTTTCCCCAATTCCATGATTTTTCCCACAGCTGTGCCCGGACTGGCAGGTGGATTACGAATCCCCCACCCCAAAATCAACCCCAAACCCTCGGGAATTCCGGATTTTCTCGGGATTTTCTCAGGATTTTCTCTCAGAATCCTGGATTTTTTTGGGGATTTCTCCCAAAATTCCCATTTTTTCCCTAATTCCATGATTTTTCCCTGATTTTTCCCTCAACTTTTCCCAGACTGGCACCCGGATTTCGAATCCCACACCCCAAAATCCACCCCAAACCCTCGGGAATTCCGGATTTTCTCGGGATTTTCTCGGGATTCTCTCAGAATCTCTTCAGAATCCTGGATTTTTTTGGGGATTTCTCCCAAAATTCCCATTTTTTCCCTAATTCCATGATTTTTCCCAGTTTTCCCTCAATTATTCCCAGACTCCACCCGGATTTCGAATCCCACACCCCAAAATCCACCCCAAACCCTCGGGAATTCCGGATTTTCTCGGGATTTTCTCTCAGAATCTCGGAATTTTCTGGAATTTTCTCCCAGAATTCCCATTTTTTTCCCTAATTCCCATTTTTCCATGATTTTTCCATGATTTTCCACAGTTCTGCTTGGACTGGCAGGCGGATTTCGAATCCCACACCCCAAAATCCACCCCAAACCCTCGGGAATCCCAAATTTTCTCGGGATTTTGGCTCAGAATCCCGGATTTTTTTGGGGATTTTTCCCAAAATTCCCGTTTTTTCCCTAATTCCATGATTTTTCCCAGTTTTCCCTCAACTATTCCCTGACTCCACCTGGATTTCGAATCCCACACCCCAAAATCCACCCTAAACCCTCGGGAATTCCGGAATTTCTCGGGATTTTCGCTCAGAATCTCGGAATTTTCTGGAATTTTCTCCCAAAATTCCCATTTTTTTCCCTAATTCCCGTTTTTCCATGATTTTTCCATGATTTTCCACAGTTCTGCTTGGATTGGCACCCGGATTTCGAATCCCACACCCCAAAATCCACCCCAAACCCTCGGGAATTCCGGAATTTCTCGGGATTTTCTCTCAGAATCTCAGATTTTTTTGGGGATTTCTCCCAGAATTCCCATTTTTTCCCTAATTCCCTGATTTTTCCCAGTTTTCCCTCAATTATTCCCAGACTCCACCTGGATTTTGAATCCCACACCCCAAAATCCACCCCAAACCCTCGGGAATTCCGGATTTTCTCGGGATTTTTGCTCAAAATCCCAGATTTTCTTGGAATTTTACCCAGAATTCCCAGATTTTTTCCCCAATTCCCGTTTTTCCATGACTTTTCCATGATTTTCCCTCAACATTTTCCAGACTCCACCCGGATTTCGAATCCCACACCCCAAAATCCACCCCAAACCCTCGGGAATTCCGGATTTTCTCAGGATTTTCTCTCAGAATCTCAGATTTTTTTGGGGATTTTTCCCAGAATTCCCATTTTTTCCCTAATTCCCTGATTTTTCCCGCAGCTGTGCCCGGACTGGCAGGTGGATTACGAATCCCACACCCCAAAATCCACCCCAAACCCTCGGGAATTCCGGATTTTCTCGGGATTTTCTCTCAGAATCTCGGATTTTCTGGAATTTTTCCCAGAATTCCCATTTTTTTCCCCAATTCCCATTTTTCCATGATTTTTCCATGATTTTCCCTCAACATTTTCCAGATTCCACCCGGATTTCGAATCCCACACCCCAAAATCCACCCCAAACCCTCGGGAATTCCGGATTTTCTCGGGATTTTCTCTCAGAATCTCGGATTTTTTTGGGGATTTTTCCCAAAATTCCCATTTTTTTCCCTAATTCCATGATTTTTCCATGATTTTTCCCAGTTTTCCCTCAACTATTCCCAGACTCCACCCGGATTTTGAGTCCCACACCCCAAAATCCACCCCAAACCCTCGGGAATTCCGGATTTTCTCGGGATTTTGGCTCAGAATCTCAGAATTTTCTGGAATTTTCTCCCAAAATTCCCATTTTTTCCCTAATTCCATGATTTTTCCCAGTTTTCCCTCAACTATTCCCAGACTCCACCCGGATTTTGAGTCCCACACCCCAAAATCCACCCCAAACCCTCGGGAATCCCGGATTTTCTCGGGATTTTCTCGGGATTTTCTCGGGATTTTCTCTCAGAATCCCGGATTTTTTTTGGGATTTCTCCCAGAATTCCCAGATTTTTCCCTAATTCCCATTTTTCCATGATTTTTCCCGCAGCTGTGCCCGGACTGGCAGGTGGATTACGAGTCCCCCACCCCAAAATCCACCCCAAACCCTCAGGAATTCCGGATTTTCTCAGGATTTTCTCTCAGAATCTCAGAATTTTCTGGAATTTTTTCCCAAAATTCCCATTTTTTTCCCCAATTCCCATTTTTCCATGACTTTTCCAGTTTTCCCTCAATTATTCCCAGACTCCACCTGGATTTTGAATCCCACACCCCAAAATCCACCCCAAACCCTCGGGAATTCCGGATTTTCTCGGGATTTTCTCTCAGAATCTCGGATTTTTTTGGGGATTTTTCCCAAAATTCCCATTTTTTTCCCCAATTCCCATTTTTCCCTGATTTTTCCATGATTTTCCCCCAATTATTCCCAGATTCCACCCGGATTTCAAATCCCCCACCCCAAAATCTTGGAAATCCCAAATTTTCTTGGAATTTCCCCTGAGAATTCCGAATTTCTTGGAATTTTCAATGAGAATCCAAATTTTCTTGGAATTTTCACTGAAAATTTGGAATTTCTTGGAATTTTTCCTGAAAATTTTGGAATTTCTTGGAATTTTTCCCAAAAATCCCAGAATTTCTTGGAATTTTCACTCAAAATCCCGGATTTTTTTTTTTTAATTTCTCCCAAAATTCCCGTTTTTTTCCCTAATTCCCATTTTTCCATGACTTTTCCATGATTTTCCCTCCACTGTTCCCAGACTCCACCCGGATTTCGAGTCCCACACCCCAAAATCCACCCCAAACCCTCGGGAATTCCGGATTTTCTCGGGATTTTCTCGGGATTTCCTCTCAGAATCTCAGATTTTTTTGGGGATTTCTCCCAGAATTCCCATTTTTTTCCCCAATTCCCATTTTTCCATGATTTTTCCATGATTTCCCTCAATTATTCCCAGACTGGCATCCAGATTTCAAATCCCACACCCCAAAATCCACCCCAAACCCTCGGGAATTCCGGATTTTCTCGGGATTTTTGCTCAAAATCCCAGATTTTCTTGGAATTTTTCCCAAAATTCCCATTTTTTTCCCCAATTCACATTTTTCCATGAGTTTTCCATGATTTTCCCTCAACATTTTCCAGACTCCACCCGGATTTCGAATCCCACACCCCAAAATCCGCCCCAAACCCTCGGGAATTCCGGATTTTCTCGGGATTTTCTCTCAGAATCTCAGATTTTTCTTGGAATTTCACCCAGAATTCCCGTTTTTTTCCCTAATTCCCGTTTTTCCATGATTTTTCCATGATTTTCCACAGTTCTGCTTGGACTGGCACCCGGATTTCGAATCCCCCACCCCAAAATCCACCCCAAACCCTCGGGAATTCCGGATTTTCTCGGGATTTTCTCAGGATTTTGGCTCAAAATCTCAGATTTTTTTTGGGATTTTTCCCAAAATTCCCATTTTTTTCCCCAATTCCCATTTTTCCGTGACTTTTCCATGATTTTCCCTCAACATTTTCCAGATTCCACCCGGATTTCGAATCCCCCACCCCAAAATCCACCCCAAACCCTCGGGAATTCCGGATTTTCTCGGGATTTTCTCTCAGAATCTCAGATTTTTTTGGGGATTTCTCCCAGAATTCCCATTTTTTCCCTAATTCCCTGATTTTTCCCAGTTTTCCCTCAATTATTCCCAGACTCCACCTGGATTTTGAATCCCACACCCCAAAATCCACCCCAAACCCTCGGGAATTCCGGATTTTCTCGGGATTTTCTCTCAGAATCTCGGATTTTTTTGGGGA